ACAAAGTTAAGGGGAATAAAATGGCTTTTATAATGTATATTTTGCTTTGAGGCTGGCCATATGACAAAATTAAGGGGAATAAAATGGCTTTTATAATGTATATTTTGCTTTGAGGCTGGCCATATGACAAAGTTAAGGGGAATAAAATGGCTTTTATAATGTATATTTTGCTTTGAGGCTGGCCATATGACAAAGTGAAGAGTTTATTATTACCTAGGTCTTGCCCAAGACTGACTACCAGCTCTTCTGGAGCCAAGGATGCGAAGCAATCTCCTCCAAAGTCAAATAATTGATTCGGCTGAAGCACCGATCCATTAAATCTTTAAATTCTGAAAATAAACATTGGAGTTGTGAAATTATTTAAAGTGAGAAGGCTCTCTCATCAGGCATGGTCAGTGCGACATTGCTGACACTAACCTTCAGAAACTGCTCTGGGGAAATCCAGAGACCCAGTTTCTCGGCTCCGAACGGGTAACGTTCCACATACCAGACGGAACAGCATTGAGCTGATGCACCTGATGGTGAACATCACATCCACATCCAGCTGTGGTGCTCCTATAAATCAGAAAAAATGAATGAGATGAGAGAGAGAGAGAAGATGCCACAGACACTGATAAACTCACTTTACATCTCACTATTTTACAGAGAGTGTAAAGCAGCGATATTTCTGCATAATTAACATCTTTTTTTCACTAACCCAAGTATTTTGGATCTTTTCGAAAACTCCCACATCCAAAGTCTATCAGTTTAACCCGTAGCGATTCTGTCTGGATGAGGAGGTTTTTGTTCCAGATGTCACCATGCCGGACGCCCCGATCCTCACAGTGGCACAGGGCCAGCAGCAGCTGTAGTAGCACCAGCTGTGCCACCTCCTCACTCAGGGAGCCACCACAGACAATGCTGTAGTGATGGAGATCCTGACACGGCTCAGGTCTCTCCATCACTATTGAGTGGCTTTCCGGACCGTCGAACCACTCAATAAACTCCACGATGTAGGGGCAGGCTGGTGGGATGCTCAGCTGCATCATTAAGGCCACCTCCTTGGGCATCTTCCCCCCAAGTGCAGGCTGTGGAATTGTTGAAGCAGATAAGAGGCAATGCAGGGAGCAGAAAAGACACTTATCCCCTTTTAAATGTTAGTGTGGAGCCTTACATGCTACTTACTATGTCTACCTCTTCCCCATTGTCATTGAGCACTTCTTTAATTGCAACCTGGGAAGATTAAAGATTATTTTTATAGAGAGAGTTTGCACAGAACCAAACAGATATGAAAACTGACATAAATACAAATGCACTTCTTCTAAAAACATGGAGTCCATAAAGACTGCACATATCATATGTATATGCTTGTTGAGACCTAATGTAAGATATATCTTACTGGTAATCCGTCTTTTTTCCGGATTCCGGCATACACGTTGCCAAACGCTCCACTGCCGATTAGTGCCCCTTTAAAGTAAAGGTCCTCCAGTCGTTCTACAGCACAGAGAAAAAGAGTGGGACACAAAACAATACTGAGCAGCTATTCAGGGTAACATCCAGAATTACAAAATATTAGATATTATCTAAAACCAGAAGCAGCCAGAGAAGAAACTTTAATGCGTTAATATAATATTTTTGTGGGCCTTCATTTACCTTTTGATTCAGATATGCAACCCCACATGCCTGTAGTAGTTTAGCAAATGACTATACAATTAATGTCATGTTCAGTTATTAGTCACACATTGAAAATAAATCATCTGTGTAAATGTATCCTCATCATATAAAAGACTGAGACAAATATAAACCTTTGGGATTACTGGAGGTGGGTTTGGGACTCGGAGTGGAGCGGCCTGCTTCTGATGGCATTTCTCTTTGCAGCAGCTGCTGGCTAATTTCATACAGGAGTTGGCTGCGAAACTTCCCAGTATCTCCAGTGCCACTCCCAGCTGCTGAGTCATTGTGGCCACTTGGTACTACAGACAATGAGAGATTGACAATGTAATCGAACAATAAACTGCATTCAATAAGGATGTAGAGTGTAGTTTTGAACTGAGACACATGCAAATATTTGGGGAGTTCAGTGACAAAATACAAACTAAAAAT